TGAACCCGAAACCCTCAGATGCTAAGGGGCTATTCTGTATGGATGTGCGCTCGAAGGGTTGGTCCTCAGCTGAGCCCCCATGGCTTGAGAGTTTAGGGTTTAGGGCTAGGGTTTAGGGTTTGGGGTTTAGGGTTTAGGATATAGGGTTTCCCTGGAACGCCTCACCAAAGAAGCGCAAAGGAAGAGCAGCTGCAAAAGGGAATCGCTGCCCTTTTCACCTCCACCGGTCGATACCTGGCTGTCACTAGGGGCTGCTTAAGGCAACCTAACCCCGAGCCCTAATGGCGAGGGTTATGGTTTAGGGTTTAGGGTTTAGGGTTTAGGGTTTGGGGTTTGGGGTTTGGGGTTTGGGGTTTGGGGTTTGGGGTTTGGGGTTTGGGGTTTGGGGTTTGGGGTTTGGGGTTTAGGGTTTAGGGTTTAGGGTTTATGGTTTACGATTTGCCTGGGCCGGCAATTCGCAAGGCCACTTTTACATCACTATGTCTTTGGTATCACCCCACCCTCCCAGAATTCCTTTTCATTTGAAATATATATATATATATATATCCCTTTTTCCTTGACTTGGCACTACCTACATGCGTGCTTCTTTTCTGTCGGGCGTTGAGGAGTTGAGGGGCGTCCTTCATAAAGATTTGATTGAGGGTCTGTGTAGGAGGGGTACCCCAGATTCGGGAAAGAGTGAGCGGTTCCAGAAATATTTAGGCACAGATTTTTGGGGCTGGGGTCTGTCTGGGACCCAGGGTCTCTGGGGGAACCACCCGGTTTAGGGTTTAGGGTTTAGGGTCTAGGGTCTAAGGTCTAGGGTCTAGGGATTAGGGATTAGAAGGGTGTGGCATGCAAGGGGATATATTTAAAGGTTTCGGGCATGGAGTTTAGGGCGAAATTCTGTGTTTGGTTGATTTGGGCGACCCATTGGCAGCACATGAACGGTTTACGGCTCGATGTTAAGGCAGATTGCGTTTCAAACGTCCGGGGGTGGCCCGGAGTAATTGCAGGCTAAGTAAGCTATACACTAAGTTGGGTATCCTAATGCTGGCCTCACCAATGACGTGACATACCTTGTGCGAAGGTCTGAAGTCCCAAAGCCCTAGAACCCTGAAGCCCTGTAGCCCTAAACCCTAACCCGAAACCTTGAACCCTTATAGCCCTAAACCCTAAACCCTAAACCCTAAACCCTAAACCCTGAACCCTGAACCCTGAACCCTAAACTCTCAACCCCAAGAGCCCTAAACCCTAAACCCCAAACCCGAAGGGTTTGGGGCATAAGCCAGATCCAGCTCCCCCGAGCTCTGCAAGTTCCTGCAACCCCTAAACCCTAATCCCTAAGTCCCTAAACCCCCTAAACCCCTTTAAAACCCCCCAAACCCTCTAAACCCCCCAAAAAAACCCCTAAACCCCCTAAACCGCTAAACCCCCTGAACCCCCTGAACCCCCTCAACCCCCTCAACCCCCTCAACCCCCTAAACCCCCTAAACCCTAAACCCAAGGCCAGGCCCTCAAGCCATCCGACACGCTGGCAGAGTTGGGTCTGCAGAGTGAAGATGCTCTGCCTGCAGACCCTGGCATGGGGGCTTGGGCAATGGGTTTAGGGCTTAGGGCTTAGGGTTTAGGGTTTAGGGTTTAGGGTTTAGTGTTCGAGCACGCGCATGGGACGTAGGGTGGGATGCTCAAGGGGCCCAAGTGCGCGCTGAACCCTGAAGCAGCATGCCCAGGAGCCCTGAACCCTAAACCCGAAACCCTAGACCCTAAGCCTTCTTGGACAAGGGAATCCTACTATTTGGGGGGGTCTATCTTGGTCCCCTATTTTCGTAAACCCCCATATCGGGTCGCACGTGTGGCCGTTTTCTCGGCTTAGAGTTCGCTTGACAGCAGGGGTTAGCTCTCCCAAACGGTAGGCACTTTCTCCCAAACCCTCACATCCCGACCCCGATCCCGACCCTAAACCTCAACCCATTTATTGAGACATTGCCCCGATATCTAAACGCGACAGACCCATCCCGCAAGTGGTGCGGTTTGGGCCAAGAGGGAGCTCTTTAGCGTTTAGGGTTTGCGATTTAGGGTTCAGGGTTTCGGTTCTATAGGCTTTAAGGGGGTCCTTTTGTTCAGGGTGCCGTTTACGATCTAAGGGTCCCAAAAAGGGACCCTGAGTTTGAGAACTACCCATTTTCCCTCAACCCTCAACCCTAAACCCTAAACCCTAAACCCTAAACCCTAAACCCTAAACCCTAAACCCTAAACCCTCAACCCTAAACCCTGAGCCCCACATGGCTCAAGGATACCTTGAGCGCCATCTTCCGAGCCGTCAGCGTGGTTTCGCTGCGACTTAGGTGCAGTTTATCCCCCCCAGTTTGACATGTAGGCAACCTTCCTAGTCTAGGGTTTAGGGTTTAGGGTTTAGGGTTTAGGGTTTAGGGTTTAGGGTTTAGGGTTTTAAGGCTGGTAGGACCCTGAGTAGGCTCTTGTTCCCGATTCTTTGGGTTTAGGTTCCCTTGCAAGCCCCTATAAACCCAAAAAGGCGCCCTTCTATTCCTAGGGTACTCTTGGGTCTAGTAGGATGATTAAGCTTGCGCGCGCCGCCTAGGCCCAGAAAATTCCAAACACCTTTCAAAGCAAGTCCAAACCAAATCCCCAAAAATCCCGGTGGGGTCCCAAAATGTTTAGTCCCGAAAAGGTGGGCAGTTTCTTGCATTTTTGCATTTGGGGCGCTCCCCTGTAGGAGTTTAGGGTTTAGGGTTCAGGGTTGAAGGGTTGGGCCAGGAGAAAGGAAGCCACACTTGGTCTTGTTCTAGCCGCCTCTCGGCCAGAGGCCGAGGCGAATCTAGGTAGGTCCTTGGGATAGTATACATTTTCCTGTTCTTGGGTTCAAGAGGATGATGTTTAGGAAGGTTTCTCAGAGGCTGTTGAGGACATCCTAGTAGCGGAGCCCTCTGAGAAAAAGCCCTCAAGCCATTTCAGGGTTTAGGCTCTTTGGGGAGCGGACTCTTTCAGAACGCTTTAAGCCCCAACTCTGAAGCCCTACTGAATCCCTGAGCCCCTCAACTCCCTCAAGCCCTTGAAGCAAGATTGCGCCACCCCCGAGTTTTTTGGTGGCCAAAGTTGGTTTCGGGTTGAAGCTACATGGTAAGGGTTTAGGGTTTAGGGTTTAGGGTTTAGGGTTTAGGGTTTAGGGTTTAGGGTTTAGGGTTTAGGGTTTAGGGTTTAGGGTTTAGAGTCCTAGTATGATCTCAGAACATTCCTGCATTGAAGGATATGGAGGTGGGGGGGGTCTCTGGGTAGGTTGTTTTACCTTATAGCGACAGTTAGCACCGTTTCTTCCCCCTCGAAAAACCAGAATCCCTTTGAACAGCAGCTACACCAAGCCTTGGTTGGTGTAGGGTTTATGGTTTGGGTTTAGGGCTTACAGGTTTTAGGGTTTATGGTGTTGGGTGGGTAGGAAGGCAACTAAACACCCAGGTACGCACTTTGTGTGCCCATCGCGTGAAGCAAACCTCTTCAAGCCCCAACCCGACATGTGTCAACAACATGGCCGGGAAATACAACTTACGGCCGTACCGTGGCCGAAAAACGTAAGCCACCCCACGCCCGCCAATGCCTAAACCGTAAACCTCAACCCCAAATGCCCTAAATCCAGGGTCATATTCCCTACTTATGACTACCGAGTACGACTAAAGGAATCTTACCCTTAAACCCTGAACCCTTTAACCCCTAAGCCCCAAACCTCAAACCCCAAACCCCAAACCCTAAACCCTAAACCCTAAACCCTATGCTCTAAACCCTAAACCCTCAACCCGGATATTGGAGTCTCTGGGCAACTCCCAAGTGACATGCAAGGTTCGAAGCCCAGCTCCTTGGCTTCGAACTTGAGGCCTTTTGGAGCCCAAGCGAGTGTCCGAACCATCCCGGTTTCAGGGTTTAGGGTTTAGGGTTTAGGGTTTAGGGTTTAGGGTTTAGGGTTTAGGGTTTAGGGCTAGGGCATATGGCACAAAGTTACCCTGAAGTAGCCAAACTACCCATTCCAACCTGTGCTTGTAAGTACCCTTTAGTTGCGTGGTGGATACTTTGATTCCCAATCTTCAGCCGCACTCGCAGTTGCCTGGGCCTGTGTGTGGCCACCTAAACCCTCCCTAAACCCTTTACCCTAAACCCTAAACCCTAAACCCTAAACCCTAAACCCTACACCCTAAACCCTAAACCCTAAACCCTAAACCCTAAACCCTAAACCCTAACCCCGAAACCCTAACCCCTAAACCCTAAACCCTAAACCCTAAACCCTAAACCCTAAACCCTAAACCCTAAACCCTAAACCCTAAACCCTAAACACTAAAACCCTAAACCCTAAACCCTAAACCCTAAACCCTAAACCCTAAACCCTAAACCCTAAACCCTAAACCCTAAACCCTAACCCTAAACCCCAAACCCCAAAAACCCTAAACCCTAAACCCGGAACCCTACCAAGTTCCCTGAGGCGGTTGATGTTGAGTAGGCGGAGTCCCCAAACGAAAGGCTTGGGGTTTCAGTGCCCCCAGAGTGTGGGCGCGAAGCTCAGGGTTTTTAGGAGGGCTTTTCATGTCTAGGTACAGCTTCGCCTCTGGAAATTCATGTTAATGAGGCTGTGGGGGGATAATTCTAGCAACGCATTTGGCACGGCTAGCTGATCTCTACATTCTACCCAACACAAAAGTCCCAAATACCGGGGGGCTATCTAAACAGCGCAAACAACTAAACCCTAAAGCCTAAAACCGAAACCCTGAACCCCCGAACCCTAACCCTAATCTTATTTCTCCAAGGGTGATTTATGTTTTACTTGTTTAGGCGCACAAAGGGAGAATATTTCGTGTTCACCCAGGCCCTGTATTCTACCGTACCGCAATCTCCCGAGTAGAGCGCCCAAACCTAAACCTTCTAACCCGGAGACATTTTAGGGTCCGGGGGGGGTTCATGCCCCCTTTGAGAATCCCCCCCTCCCTTCAAGGCCCTATAAAGACGGCATGCCTGTTGCAATGTACGGAATATTTCCGTACAAGCTCGGCACCTCCATTACCTTCGGCCACAAGTACATGCATTACAAGGGGATCTGGGAGGCTCGTCTTGCAGGGACTGCTCGAGCCAGAAGGACCGCCAGCAAGGTCATGCATCGCCGCAACCGTGCCCAAGCAAGTGAAGCTAACAACCAGGCCCGTGCTGAGGCCGAGAGTCGCTCGTTCATCCAGGAGCTCGGGCGGATCTTTACGGCCTTGTGACCGGCCGGTGCAGGTAACAAGAGTGCTGCGGCAATTTTGCCAAGCTCACAGCCCCGGCCTCTTCAGCCATTTTAAGACAGCTCCATGTGAGCTCTAGCAATTCTTCTTGCACGAAGGGCAAAGCAGCTCACGCAATGTGCTATCTGCCCAAGCTCTCCGTGTCGTTTTGGCTGAGGGTTTGTAATAAGGGATATCGAAGTCTCTGCAACACTGACCTTTCCATAGACTCAAGAAGCAGAGCCACATGTCTCGAGCACCCCGTTCTCCCTTGAGCCTGGAATATTCCTGAAATGGCAATAGGGCTCCTACCTAAGATCTCTTACCTGAAATAAATTTGGGACGTTTTATTCAATTGGAGGAACATCCCTAAAACCTCAACCCTGATCCCAAATTACGGGACTCTGATATTTAAGGCATCTCTGTTGAACCCAACAGGCTCCCATATCCCCTTCCTGGGGGCATTTTTCTTATCTCAAACCCTAAACCCTAAACCTTAAACCCTAAGCCCTAAACCCTAGAGACATTTTTCTTATCTCATATGAGGGTCCCTAGTCCCATTTTCAGGAATCTTCCCTATCTCCGGGACGTCTCTCGCCTTAAGCCCAAAGGCCGAATGGGTGTAGGGTTTAGGGTGTAGGGTTTGGGGTTTAGGGTAGACCCTAAACCCTAAACCCCTCTACTCCACGCTTGAACCCCTTAGGAAATCCATTTCGGAAAGCTGTGCGTTGACGACGCCCTTTGCTGGCGACGCCTTCGCTGCCCTGCAGGCTAGGCGCTGGAGACCTCATGATTCTCATGATGTCTTGATTCAGTTTAGAGGGGTAGGTTAATTGTTGTTAGCCTGAATTCCTGATATGGTCCTTGTAATAAAGCCAAAGATTCGAGTTTTTTACATGGGTCCCAAACCTACCCTAGCTTAGGGCCTAAGGCCAGCAACACCCAGCCATCCCTTAATTAGGGGGTCACCCTAAACCCTAAGCCCTAAACCCTAAACCCTACGCCCCGAAGCGTTTGCAGGCGGATGGCTCTGTGCGGACCTGGGGCGCGCCCGAGCTCGGGGGCGATGCCAGCAGTGTCCGCCCTTAGAGGGTTTAGGGTTTAGGGTTTAGGGTTTCGGGTTGAGGGTTCAGGGCTTAGGGGAGTTTTGTCAGGTGCAGATGGTCTGACAAAGGAGATGCATGACATATGTACATACATGCGTATCTCTCTCTATATATATATATATACACATAGCAATCATATATATATATATATACATATACATAATGATTTGCTTGTTCATCATTCGTTATTTCACATACATTCCGTATGCGTATACACACATATATATATATACATATACATATATATATATATACATTATATATATTTGTTTATACATATACATATATATATATATTGAATGTGGGGTAGCTTTTAATGGTATATATCAGTATCTGCAATAAGACCCCTTTGACTATATTCGTGCAAGCGACCAATAAAAATGAGCCTAAACCCTAAGCCCTAAGCCCTAAACCCTAAACCCTAAACCCTAAACCCTAAACTCGTTGGGTAAAAGCAGGTACGAGACCAGCTGCGCGACATCCAGAAGGTCTGCGGAACGGCCGGGGCCTTCGCTGCCATTCGGGCCGACGGTCGGGTGACCCTGGGCTGCTTTTTGGGAGGGTTTAGGGTTTAGGGTTTAGGGTTTAGGGTTTAGGGTTTAGGGTGCACGGGTTTAGGGTTTAGGGTTTAGGGTTTAGACCCCGAATGACACCTCATGAAAGAACTTCCGCTTCGGGACGAACGAAGACCAAAGTCAACGTATCCTGAAGCTGAAGGCTTCGTGGGGCTTATGGATGTTGAAGGCATCCATGGGGGTGTACTTGGTAGGGTCGGAGGGTTTAAGGTTTGGGGTTTAGGGTTTAGGTTTTAGGCTTTAGGGTTTAAGGTTTAGGGTTTAGGGGCTTAGTAAGTAGGCGTAGTAAGCAGGACAACCCCAGATTCGGGCCCCATTTTGGGGGGGTTGTTTTATAGTTCTACTTTGTGCCTACTGTCTAATCCCCGGATTCTCCAAGAAAGGCTCTACCAGCTTTGCGGTGCCAGCTTTGCGGTGCCAGATTTAGGCAGAAAGGTTTAGGGTTTAGGGTTTAGGGTTTAGGGTTTAGGGTTTAGGGTTTAGGGTTTAGGGTTTAGGGTTTAGGGTTTACGGCTTCGGGTTTAGCATCGAGGGCTGTGGGGCTGTGGGGCTTGTTCGACTACGTTCTAGCGGAAGGTGTTTTCTGTATCTTATTTTTCTGGAGGGGGGTCCTGTTTGCAAGGGGTGTGTTTTTTTAAAGAGGTGCAGAGAAATGCAAGAAGTCCTGACTTAGAACAAACACTTGACATTATGAAACCATGATGTGACATCCTGCACTAAGAGCATGCAGTCGCAGCAAGGCCATTGTGGAATGATTGGGCACACGCGATCGCAAAAAAGAGTAGTTGGCCGGCAGGGGGGGGGGACCTAAAGTGCAGTTCGTAGAAAGGATATGGAATATACCTCAATAGAGACCCCCAAAAGCGTCCCACACACCCTAAACCCCAAACCCTAAACCCTAAACCTAAACCCTGAACCCTAAACCCTAGACCCTAAGCCCCTAAACCCCTAAACCCCTAAAGCCCTAAACCCCTAAACCCCTAAACCCCTAAGCCCCCAAACCCCCAAACCCCAAACCCCTAAACCCCTAAACCCCTAAACCCCTAAACCCCTAAACCCCTAAACCCCTAAACCCTAAACCCGAAACCCTAAACCCCCAAACCCCTAAACACCTAAACCCCTAAACCCCTAACCCTAGACTCCCCCAAACCCTACATCCCCCCCCCCCCCCCCCCACCCCCCGTCCCCAATGTGAAGTCCCGGAAGGATCACCTGGGGCGATGCTGAGCTTGGTGGTGACAGCGAGGGTGTGCAGCACCAGCTGTGCCTGGGTATGCCCTTCTTAGGAAACTTTGCATTGTCCCCTTTATTGGGCTTAAGATGGTCCCATTTTAGAGTGCATGTTGTTGTTATGTATTATTTATTTATTTATCTATTCATTTTTTTTGAGCGTTTTGGCGGCCTCCGAGGTACGAGGTGCAGGAGGTCTGTGCAAGCAGCGGGGCCTTCGCCGCGTTGCGGGCCGATGGCTGCGTGGTCTGTTGGGGCAGTCCGGACTCAGGGGGAGATCCCCCGGAATCAGGGGGAGATCCCGCGGAGGCAGAGCTCGCAGTCGCAGGGGAGGTGCGGGCACTTCGTGGGTCTCGCCTCGCGTTTGCGGCCCTACGGGCCGATGGTTCGGTCAAGACCTGGGGGGATCCGGATCACGGTGGGAACAGCGCTGCAGTGGAGAGTCAGCTGAGGAAGGTGCAGCAGATTTACATGTCCTATGGGGCCTGCGCGGCAGTGTGCTCGGATGGTAGGGTGGTGACATGGGGTGCTGCAGAGTTTGGCGGAGACAGCAGCGGCGTTTCTGGCCGGCTGCGCGACGTCTCCACGGTGTGCGCCACAACCGCGGCATTCGCCGCAATTCGTGGAGACGGCACTGTGGTCACATGGGGCGATGCAGCTACTGGGGGAGAAAGCCACCGCGTGGAGCAGCAGCGACTTGCTTAATATAGGGGTCGGAATAATTTCAAATTGCTAGCCCATTCCTGGTGCTGCCAAGAAAATTTGCGACTCAGCATGGGTCCCTAACCTTCAGCCCACATCGACAAGCCCTATTGCACCGGAAGCCCTGAGACTTCAATCTTTGCAGCTGGGTCCCTCAACTTCAAAACCCCTAAACCTCCAACCGACGCCAACCCTTATCCCTGGAATAGAAGAACCCCCAAATGCCGAACTCTAACCCTAAACCCTAAACCCTAAACCCTAAACCCCAAACCCTATAAGCCCTGGAACTCCACGAGCTGATGAGGCTGCGGGGCGTCCGCTCGGTCCACGCCACGTGCTCAGCAACTTGGGCAGGGCCCCAGTAGCGCTGGTTTAGGGTTTAGGGTTTAGGGTTTAGGGTTTAGGGTTTAGGGTTTAGGGTTTAGGGTTCTACGAAGTCTTGTTCAGGGTTTCGGGGTTTCGGGCTTTTCGCTTAAACTCGAAAGCCTAAACTCTAAACCCCAAGGCATACAGCTTGTAATGCTTAACCCTAAGCTACTCCCCCCAAAAATAAAGTACTCTTCCTTGCAAGGGTAATGTAGGGATGATTACTTTTTATTTTTTTGGGGTTCTTAAGCAAATAGCAGTAAGCACTAAACCCTAACAACCACGCCCAGGCTTTTGCAGCTGTGCGCCATGATGGCACGGTGGTTGCCTGGGGGGATGCAGACAGTGGCGGAGACACTTCCAAGGCGGGCAAACAAGAGTTTTTTTGTTTATTTAAGGTTCGGCTATAGGCTTTCGGCTTTAGGGGTTTAGGGCTTTTTGGGCTTCGGGTTTACGGGCCTAAGCCCAGGGTGTCGGGCTTGGATAGGCTTGCAGCAGCCACCGGTTGCAGGGTTTAGGGCTCTGGAGACGTGCAAACCCCAGGCTTCTGGGTTTTCTCAGCATTGGAGAGCGGGCGAGTTCGCAATGTTGCCAGCAGAGCCCTCTCCAGCTTGGATTTCGGAACGACCTCTGCGATCATGGGATCCGAAACTACCCCCCACACCACACACACACAATACTTTATGACGAAGTCTCGGAAGTCTTTCTTGAGGGTTTTGTGGGCCGGGACAGTATCGGGTCCACCACAGCATAGCAGTGCGATGCATTTGGCTGCTGTAGCGAGTTTTCTGGCCCAAAAGGGAACACCTAACCACATAAGACCCCATCCATAGCTCTTGGGTTCTTAAAACCTTAAGTCTTGAAGGCCTGTCGGTCGCCCCCCCCCCCCCCCCATTTTCAGGATTCTGTGCCGCTTTTGTTGGCAAAACACCCGAAAACTTACCAATCCCCCCGTACACTCTCGGCATCAACCCCACCGCATTCCGAACAGCAGGTGAAAAGCCAGCTCTTTGACATCCAGGACCTTGCTTTGGGGTTTCGGGTTGGAATGTTCCCCCCTTAGACTAACAGCCCTTTTTAGGGATGATGGTACCACGTACTAGAATCCCTATAAGGACTGTTCATCCCTAGTTTAGGGTTTAGGGTTGTTTTGGGGAGTCCGGTTTCCTGGTGCGGGGTGTGAGGCTTGCTTTCAGTTAGCACCCGGAACTCCCAATTGTTTGCCTTTTGGGATGAAGGGTACTTCGGCCATACGGCGTTTTGGGTTTGGGGATTTAGGCTTTAGGCTGTAGGCTTTAGGCTTTAGGCTTTAGGCTTTAGGCTTTAGGCTTTAGGCTTTAGGCTGTAGGCTGTAGGCTGTAGGCTGTAGGCTGTAGGCTTTAGGCTTTAGGCTTTAGGGCTTTAGGGCTTTAGGCTTTAGGCTTTAGGCTTTAGGCTTTAGGCTTTAGGCTTTAGGCTTTAGGCTTTAGGCTTTAGGCTTTAGGCTTTAGGCTTTAGGCTTTAGGCTTTAGGCTTTAGGCTTTAGGCTTTAGGCTTTAGCCGGGTTTAGCGCTTAGGGTTTATAGGGTTTAGGGTTTAGGCGCGAAACCGTAGCATGTTGGAGTGTGAAGGAAGTGGCATCTGCTTGCGACGCCTTTGCAGCAGTAAGGGCGGATGGTCGAGCAGTGAGCTTCTTGATGCTGCACACAACCCCTGGAGTTAGGGTTTCGGGTTTAGGCTTTAGGGTTTTGGGGTTTCGGGCTTCGGGCTTCGGGTTTCGGGCTTAGCTGAGTGTAGGGCTGAAGGGTTGGGGCGGAGGCTGTGGGTGGAAGGCTGCTGCATATCCTAGGAGCAACTCTACTCGAATACCAACTCTCCAAAGTCAAGAAGAGTTCCAGAACCTCTTCAAGGACGACTGGCGCTGTCTTAATTGAGCTTCTCTGCTGTACAAAGAAGGTGCAGGACGAGAGGCGAGTAAACTTCAAATCCTAAACCCTGCCGAAACCCGAAGCCCACGATGAGAGCTTCAGAAGGGGCGCAGCGCGAAGTTTCCAGCCGCTCCAACCCGTGCGGTGTGACTCGCTAGAGGTGTTTGTCGTTTGAAGTTTAGGGTTAGGGAGTTAGGGTTTAGGGTTTAGGCTATCGGGTTCAGGGTTTAGGGTTTAGGGTTAAACCCTAAACCCTATAAACCTTAAACCTTAAACCCTCAACCCTACACCCTCTTTATGGGGGTAGGGATCTGGGGTCTCAAATTGAGGCTTATAGGAGCTTCATCTGAGGCTGGGGCGATGCTTGCAGGGGAGGCCATGCGTTTGCGAAGAGCCGAGGATCCGCGAGTCGGGGTTTAGGGGTTTAGGGGTTTAGGGGTTTAGGGTTTTGGGGTTTTGGGGTTTTGGGGTTTTGGGGTTTAGGGGTTTAGGGGTTTTGGGGTTTAGGGGTTTACGGAAGAATGCCCACCCGCCCAGAGAATCCCATAACATTTGCAAACACGCAGTTTTCCATTCGTCTCCTCCTCCCCCATCACCCGTATCCCAGCCTGTATCCCCAAAGAGTCCCGAATGTGGTCAACCCCAAGCCCGACCCTAAACCCTAAACCCTTTATAAACCCTAAACCCTAAACCCTCAACCCTCAACCCTCAACCCTCAACCCTCAACCCTCAACCCTCAACCCTAAACCCTAAACCCTAAACCCTAACCAGGTGACCACAGCCCTGTGGATGGGCAGCTTCTGGATGTGAAGGCACTGCGCGCCTCCGCCACCGCGTTCGCCGCGCTCCGCCTGGACGGGCACGTGGTCTGCTGGGGCGAAGCTGCGCGTGCCTTGGGGTCCACATGAACCCAAAAAGGGTTTAGGGTTTAGGGTTTAGGGCTTAGGGTTTAGGGTTTAGGGCTTAGGGTTTAGGGTTTAGGGCTTATGGTTCCTCTACCTTAATAGGATTGCAGTAGTATCGTGTATATGATCCTCCCCAATTTGAGTGTTCATTTGGTCCCTAAGGTGGCGGAGACTCGAGCAAGGTGCATGAGCAGCTGCACGAGATTCAGGAGCTTCGGGCCCGGGTTTTTGGGAGTTGAAGGTTTAGGGTTTAGGGTTTAGGGTTTAGGGCTTTTGGGAGTTGAAGGTCTCTAATAAATCCATGGGCGCAGGGGGTTTTAATCAGTTTAGAACGATTGTTGGAATACATGGTTAGGTGCACCTCACAACCTCTTCTCTTCCGCAAGGATCTCTATGCCTCTGCTGGTGCATTTGTTGCGATCCGGGAAGATGGAACTCTGGTGACGTGGGGTCGTTAGCCCTGTTCGGCATATTTTTCACTTCGGTCTGAGAACTGACGGGTGTGAAAAGAGCAAAGTGTTTTCAGCAAAAGCCACAAAGAACAAATTCGTGAAAACCTGCAGAACCTGTACACTGTCCAATCAACAAAGCCAGGTCATAGAAAGATTGAGCAAAACCACAAAGTCTGTAATTCCAACAGTTTAAGGTTTAGGATGTAGGGTTTGGGGTTTACAGGGTTGAACAACAAACGGGTCGATACCTGCTCACAACCTGAACAAGCCCCACATTTTTTGTCAACCCCCCGTTTGAAGTGTGAGTGGCTGGGGATTTAGGGATTAGAGTTTAGGGTTTAGGGCTTAGGGTGGTACAAGAATTTTTGTGAACCCTGAACCCGAAACCCAAAAACCCCTAGGCCCTAGTCAAAAGGCACAAGCTGGGTTGTGCTCTGGGATACTGGTCAATTTCCCTTCTGTCTATATAGCGGACCCTCTTCATAGATAGTTTTTAGTTTTTGAAGGGTTTAAAGAACAACTCAGCAACCCTAAACCCTAAACCCTAAACCCGAAACCCGAAACCCTAAACCCTAAACCCCTAAGGCCAAAGGCGTTTCGATCAATCCTAGGCTCGCCGGCTTGCGGCGGCGCCTTAGTCACCATTCCGCGCAAGACCACAGAACAATGCTTCTTGGATGCCCTTGGTTTAGGGTTTAGGGTTTAGGGTTTAGGGTTTAGGGTTTCGGTTTTCGGGTTTCGGTGTTTCGGGTTTAGGGCTTTAGGGCTTTTGGGTTTAGGGTTGATGTCTTTGGAACTTTTTTCTTCTGGTCCCTTTTCGGGTTAGGCCTGTTCAATCAATCTTGATACACTCCTCATACTTTCTTCGTACTTCTCTCAGGCCTTGGAGCCCTACGGATTAAGACTCGTAGTTCTAAACCCTAAACCCTAAACCCTAAACCCTAGACCCTAAACCCTAAGCCCTAAACCCTAAACCCTGAACCCTATATCCCATGCAAAGCCCAAAAGCCCCCGGAGGCCTGCGTGGGTCGTGGATCTATGGGATCGGCTACGAGGAGGGATAGCTGGCCGTGCCAGCCTAGTATTTTTCAGTAGCTGAGTGAGTACACTTGGTTTAGGGTTTAGGGTTTAGGGTTTAGGGGTTAGGGTTTAGGGTTTAGGGTTTAGGGTTTAGGGTTTCGGGTTTAGGGTTTAGGGTTTAGGGTTTAACACCTTTTGGGATACTACGTATAACCCCCAAAAACACTGCAAGTGTACACTTTTTGGGGGTTTCTGAATCCAGCAACCAAGATGTTTAGGGGTTTATAAGGCTTAGAGGTCTGCGGGTGTAAGGTTTCGGGGTTGGGGTTTAGGGTGGTGTTTAGGGACCCTCGTCCCTTTGCAAGTTTGATGCATCTGGACATGCGCTCCGCTGTGTTTCAGCCGAGCCGAAACCGGAAGCGCAGGAATTGACAAAATCTAAAGCTCTCCGCACCTTCGCCAAGACCAGTTCGGGTTCCCTAAACCCCTAAGAACCCTAAACCCTAAACCCTAAACCCTAAACCCTAAACCCTAAACCCTAAACCAGCCAAACCCCAAGTCTCCAAACCCTGAAAACCCTAACGTGGGTACGTCTCAACAGTGCATGTCGCCATCTTTCCGTCCTTCCAAAAGAGGCCGAAGTCCGACCAAGTTAGCATTAGGGTTTAGGGTTATCAGGTTTAGGGTTTATAGGGTTTAGGGCTTTAGGACGAAGAGACTTGTGGATCCCAGTCTTGAAGCCTTGACGCATATATCCTAGATTTGCAGAAGTTTTCGGGAATGAATTGCCCACAGTCAGGTCCGGAACGGTGCTGTGACACATTCGGCTAAACCCTAAACCCTAAACCCTAAAGCCTAAACCCTAAACATGTGCACATGGCAAATCATCCCATCGAGTCGCGCAGGGCTGGCTTCAGGCATCTTGAGAGGACTGAAAAATTCTTTTCAAGCAGTTTGGCAGCATCTTTCCATGCCATAAGGCGGCGTCCTCCACCCGACGTAGATGGTGATAGTGAGGAGGATTCGTAGCAGCCAGCACAGTATCGACCCAGGGCTAGCCCTGAACGAGATTCGCCCATGGGAGCCGTTCCATCTTGCAGCGCCGATAGCGGTTGGGGTCGCGTGACCCTGACGACAGGGGTGAACCTGCTGGGCAAGGTTCATATGGGTTCCCCTACTACCCCTCTATTCTACCCGCCTAGGTTCCCCCACTATATTGAGGAGAATTAAGCTTAACTAAGGGTTTAGGGTACCCCCCCTAGGTTCACCTGCTATAGTTAGGATAATTAAGCTTAGCCAAGGCCTTTTTAAGGGGTTACCCCAGAAGGGGTTGAAAGGTGGTGCGGATCTCCGAGTTCGGTGAGGGAATCCCAGACTGGGAGGACGAAGGCAGGTTCTGGCGGACCACGGGTCCGCGAGCCAAATCTCTGGAGCCGGGCCGACAAGAGTTTCTCTGGAGGGAGCCAGAGTTTGGGAACCTGTTGGGAACCGTCATCGTTCTTCGGCACGATGCTGGGGAGGTGTCCATGGACACGGACCTGCGTGGCAAGCGCATGCACTGGAAGCTGCTGACCTCAGACCGTCGGGTACTGAGTGAGACGACCAAGGCATCTGTGGAGGCCGCAGTGGACCTTACAGAGCTTCTGGGAGGAGTGCTGGGTGGTCGGGCGAGCATCGAAGGCTCGGCTGGGGCAAAGGTGGGTCCCGGCAGCGGAAGGCTCTACCTGGAGTTTATCATCCCATGCCTTCGGCTAGGAGTTGACGTCCTCAACCCTTCGGTGCCCACGGTGCACGAAGTGATCCTCGGCGCGTCAGTCAGAGGCACCATTGAGTCCACGGGTGAGCGGACAACTACCACAGAGGGCAAGATAGGGATGAAGGCCAAGGTGGCAGAGAGTCTGCCCATCAGCGCAGAGGTTAGTGGGCAGAATGCTGTGGAGCTCACGCTGGGTGACTTCAACCTTGCGCTCACCGCGCATGGCGGACCGGAGATCGAGTTTGCGCAGCAGTGCCGGACAATGGGGGAGATCATCAAGTATTTCCAGTCAGAGTGGCAGCAGCATGTCTTCAGCAGGCCACAAACATGGCAAGTTGTCTTTGCTAACGTGGCTGGCCCGGGTGGCACCGGCCCACCACCCCTGCCAAAGCCAAACGTGGCGGCCTGGACAGGCCAGGGAGGGCCCTCAGCTACCTCGGACCGTCCCGCACAAGCAATCGTGCCGGCTGCAGTGGACGCGGAGGTGGCGCGGGTCACGGTGGAAGATCCCGAGGTGCGGAAGGAGCTGGAGAATGCCTCACAGAGCGTCCTGGAGGCGGTGGCTTCCCGGACCGTTGAGGCTGTTCGGGCACAGCTGCAGAGCCCGGCCGCGCAAGTGTTGCTCGTCTGCCTGAGGGCAGGTAGCCAGACCTACGGCCTCGATTGGTGCTGGGAATCCTTGGTCCGGATGGTGAAGGAAGATGAGGGCATTGCTGGCATGGCAGACCGTGTGCAGGAGGCGAAGATGGATATGTATACCTTGGAGCGCAGGGTAAAGGAATCGAAAGAGTCAACCGCTTGCGACTTCTTTACCATAGCGGCTGCCCCGCAGACCGATGAGCGGACTGTGCAGAAAATGGTCCAAGAGCACGGCAATGTCTCCCAGACATACTCCGCTGGTGATCGTTCCAGCATCTTCGAGCAATGGGCCACGGACTTTTCCACTGAACCTTGGGAGAAGCTGGCTGAGGCCAAGGACAACGGGGCTGCCACAAAACTCTGCAAGGCCCTCACGCCCGACCTCTGGCTAAACACTCAGCATCCAAAATGGAATCCCTAGGTTCTGAACCCAGACCTCCAAGAAAGCCTCGCTCTCCTGTGGAGGACGACGGTCTGGTCTCCGCGCAGCTTGGCCGCAGCCGTGCCGAGGACCAGAACGTGGCACAGCGGTTGGCCCGCAGCCTGCACTACAGGGGCTGCCCGAACCCCACGAAGGCCCTTGGTTTTCTTTGATGCCTTCTTGCTCCCTAGTTGTCTTGTCTGACTATTCTGTATGCTGTGGTAGCGGCTGCTGATGGAGATGGAGATAACGTTTGTGGTGGTAGGTAAGTAGTATGGTGGGTAGAAATGGCGGCGGTGGAGCTGGAGGTGGACGCTACTCTGCTGTAGGGTTCCCGGGTTTGTGCGGACGGGCGCGCTGAAGTCGCGAAGCTCATGAGTCTTTGCTCCAAGAGAGCCTACTTTGAGGCCCAACGTCTTGCGACTGGGCCCAATACGACACCCAGGCACCTCCGATCCACAGCCCTGGCAACGGAGCCCTAACGGCAACAGGCTGACCCCTCCCAAGCACAGATACCACTGGATTTCAGCATTCTTTCCTTTTCCTGCCGAAGCCAGCACCTGCAAGTCTTGCTTCACCTTCACGCAGGTTTTTTATCGCATTGATCGCAGGAGACCACCGTGGCGTTCGTTGGCTTGCCCAAGGTGGGCAAGACCTGCCTGGTCCGGTCGCTTGGACTTCTGATCCTCAGCATTCGGACGGTCTTGGCTGGGCGTTGGGATCTTCGAGGGATGAAGTGTGCTGAAGTTGAGGGTGTCTGGTCAGGGACTTTGGTACTCCGGCGCATTGTGCTTCACACCCACGTCCCTCAACCCTGGACCCAAAGCCGCAAGCAAAGGATAAGTAACTAGGCCCTGAATCCACAACAAGCAAGCAAAGGAAGGATGGGTTTAGGGTTTAGGGTTTAAGGTTTAGGGTTTAGGGTTTAGGGCTTAGGGCTTAGGGTTTAGGGTTTAGGGTGATCATGAGGTCACTGCGCTACCTCATCCGCAACAAAGGCCTGGCCGAGCCTCCCTTCCAAGAAGGCTCTCTCGAGGCCCCTCTGCTTTGTTTTAGAAGTCTGTTTTTTGAAGTCTGTTTGATAATACTGACGTGCTCTCCCCTCACCCCCCCCCACCCCCCAACCCCACCCCCCCACCCCCCCTCCTCCTGCACTACCCCTACCCCTACCCCTACCCCCCTAGCCCTACCCCCTACCCCCCTCCTACCCTGACGCCGCGACGCCCTCAACCCTCCCCCCTGCCCTTATTCTTAGGAGCCTGGGGTGTAGGGTTTAGGGTTTAGGGCTTAGGGTTTAGGATTTAATCCAAAACGGCGCGGTCTTATTCTTAGGAGCCTAGGGTCTTCTCTCAACTTTCTGTCAGCTCTCTCTCTCTCTCTCTCCCACAGCTTTCTCTCAGTTCTCCCCTCTTTCTCTCTCTCTGTCTCTCTCTCTCTCTCTTTCTCTCTCTTTCTCTCAGTTCTCTCAGTTCTCTCTCAGCTCTCTCCCAGCCCTCTTTCAGCTCTCTCGCTCTCTCTCTCTCTCTCTCTCTCTCTCAACTTTCTCAGAGCTCTCATTCATCTCTCGCTCTCTCTCTCTCTCTCTCTCTCTCTCTCCTCTCTCTCAGCTCTGTCTCGGGTTTCTCTCAGCTCTCTCTCTCTCTCTCTCTCTCTCTCTCTCTCTTTCGGCTCTCTCTCAACTTTCTGTCAGCTCTCTCTCAAAAGACTTTGAGACAAAACGAAGGGATGCCAACTTCACTGGCGCAGTTAGCGCAGCTCTTAGATTCAGGGTTTTGGGTTTAGGGTTCAGGGTAACCGTGGAAGGTTTAGGGTTTAAGGTTCGGGGTTTAGAAGGGAGAGCTTTGCGAGAGCCCTGTCAAGGCTCTTCATGAAGAGTCCAAACTAAGGACGAGGGAGCCCGGAACTGCTTCAACGTGCACCGAGAAGGGGCCTTCGTGTTCCTGGACTTCCCCTCCTTCTCCGAGCACTTCATTGACACCTTCGACTTCGTTTTTAAGACAGGTGTCGTGCCCGGTGCCTCTTACAAGGAGATGGACCCTGACACGGGGTCGCTGGCAAAGAGGATGTCGCAGGGCGACCACTCCGGGGTGTTGAAGGTTGAAGCTGGGACATTCTTGAAACGGGGGGTTGAGGGTTTAAATTTGGGATGTTCGCCCTTATACGAACAGTCCTTAGTAGGGAATATAAGAGGGGGGGACTGTAATCCCTATTCAGGACTGTTAGTGTAAGGGGGAACATCCCAAGCTTAGGGCGGGCTTAGGGTAGTTAGGACTGTGTTGATAGCACTGTTTTTCAGCCGAGGACGTGGTGGTCTTAGTGGTGAAGGGCACCAAGGAGCCCGAGATCGAGGAGCAGCAGCAGCTTCTGGAGCTCATCCACAAGCACAAGCTGCCCTTTAATGTCGTGATCACCCATAAGAACTCCACCTCCAGGCTTCTGTCCCAGATGCGGCGGAAGGAGAACTTGACACCGCATGTGGCCACTCGGCTAGCAGGCCTGAGCAAACGGGAAGACTTCCGGAAGGCGGCGACCGCGATCTTTACCAGCAACCTCGTGCACATGGTTGAGAACGTGACGAATGTGCAATCGCGCCTCGAGGACGCAAGTCGCTTTGAGCTACTCAAGGCACTCCAGGACTGGAAGATTGTAGGGGATGGGCTCTTCAAGGACGGCGCCTTTGTGCACGTGGGCGATCTCACGCGGGAGCAGAGGGACCAGCTGTTGAAGCAGTGGACGGGCATCCCCTCGCAGGTGCCTTTTGTGGGGGGCTGCAACATCCTGGAGGAGTGCCTTGTCATATGGGAGTTTGCTGCGAAAATACAGGGCCCGAATATACATAGTAGGATTCCCTTCTAAAAAGGACCCCAAAAAAGGTACCACGAATACCGTAAGCCCGCATATGTTGTCTTCCCGCAGGCCCCACATCCCATCCCCTGCCCCCTTTCCCCATGTCTGTTCGTGCTGTGAGCCCCTGAAGCCAGATGTGAAGCTTCTGATCGCCCCAGGTATCTCGAACGTGCTGCCATGGACTCAATCAGGAATGAGGCCACGGAAGCATCTGCAAGAGTCCACACACCTGAAGAATTGATATTCAGCCCCATCTCCACATGCAGAACAATCAGAATACCTGGTACCCTCGTTACCTACAGTTTTATGAGTTAGACCTACTAATTAAGGGTGATTCGTACCAAACTGTAGGTAAACAGGGTCCCAGGTAGAACTAAGCCTCAGCGCTTCCGCGTCGCTGACAGAGGTGATTGAGATTAAGCGCGAAGCGGGGCAGGGGCTGGATTTCACCGTTGACGCGGACACTCGGACGTGGGAATTAGGGGCTAGGGTTTTAGGACTTAGGGGGGTTTAGGGCCAGAGTTTGGCAGCATGTGCCTCTTCACAGTGTTCGAGATCTTGTTGCGCGGAGGGCTCTGTCTCTCCCTTCTCTCCATTCTTCTTTCTCTTATGACACGGGCTCTCCGCCAAGCCTCGAGGAGTTGGTGGTGCAGAAGGTCGGCGCGTTGGCCCAAAACGACGGCGTTTGCGTCGGCTGGCGCGTCATCTCAGTGCGATCCCTTGTCGTCCAGTACAGTCTACAGAAGTGCCCCTTAGGACCAAACGAACTGGAAGGCCTTTCTCGGCGTTCAAGAGAAAGGAGATAAGAAATACTCGCATTCATTATTCCTGCTAATCGTACATTATTCCTACAGCAATTCCTACTATAAGCAATTGCAACCGAATAGATAAGTGCATGTGCACGAATCAACGAATACGTTCATTATATATATATATATATTATACATATACATACACATATACAGGTATGTATATGTGTATATGTATATATATATATATATATATGTATATATGTGGAGGGGTCCTTTATGTATGATTTGACCTCTTCCTTTGTGGTACTGTTCCTATGGTTGGGCGAACCCTACTCCCTAAACCCTGGACCTTAAACCCTCTAACCACAGTGACTAGTGACTATGTTATTTAAAACTTCATGCTTAGGTTTCAGCTTTTCGCAAAATCGCCATGTTCGTTGCAAGAAGGGGCCTCCTCCCTGGAGCAGGGCTGAATTCCCTCATACCATCTGTTTCGTTTTCTTTCTCTCCTGCATTCCTATGTCTTCAATTCTTTTGATTGTAGGATATTCAAAGGAAGTGCTAAAGAGGACAAACAAGGTTGCCCTGCCCCCTTTCGCTGTCCTTCATCTTGTTTTCTCAGTCTGCAGTCTGCGAGAAAGGAAGGGACAGTAGGAGGGGAACAACAAGGAATGGACAAGAGTGCTTCTCTCTCTCTCTCTCTCTTTTCTTCTCTCTCTTGTCTTATTGAGAAGACTGGGTACATAAGACTGGGAAGAGACTCCCTCTCCTCTCTGATTCTCTGCTTTATCTCTTTTCTTGCAGAGGAGAAGAACTTCATAGAAGAAGAGAGGAACAGACAACAGAACGACAAGTGCAAGGAACTGACAAGAGTGCTTCTTTTGACAAAAACAGAGGGAAAAAGAGAAGCAAATTGACTAGACGAGAGAGGGAAGAAACATTGGTTTGTCCGTTGCAGAAGGGGGCTCCTTCTCCCCTGGAGCCTGCGTTCCTATGTCTTCTGTTCCTTTTCTTGTGGAGATTCAAAGGTATATGTAAAAAAGGCGAAAAAGGTTTCCCTGTACCTTCGCTGTCCTTGATCTTGTCCTGTCTCAGTCAGTGAGAGAGGAAAGCACAGCAGGAGGTGAAAAAACAAGGAATAGACAAGACTGCTTCTCTCTGTTTTCTTCTGGAGAAACAGCGGATAAGTAAAGGGGGGAAGAAGAACGATCTGTTCAGATCTCTTCTTGCAGAGTAGAAACATGACCTCGCAAGGAAAAGCCATCTCCTGCCTTCGTTTGCTCTCTTCTCTCTTCTCTCTTCTCTCTTCCCTCTTCCCTCTTCTCTCTTCTCTCTTCTCTCTTCTCTCTTCTCTCTTCTCTCTTCTCTCTTCTCTCTCTCTCTCTCTCTCTCTCCTCTCTCCTCTCTCCTCTCTCTCTTCTCTCTTCTCTCTTCTCTCTTCTCTCTTCTCTCTTCTCTCTTCTCTCTTCTCTCTTCTCTTCTCTCTCTCTCTCTTCTCTCTTCTCTCTTCTCTCTTCTCTCTTCTCTCTTCTCTCTTCTCTCTTCTCTCTTCTCTCTTCTCTCTTCTCTCTCTTCTCTCTTCTCTCTTCTCTCTTCTCTCCTCTCCAAGGCCATGGGTCAAATAATACATAAAGGGTTCTCTTACCTATATGTATATATATATATATTTCTTTCTATCTATCTATTGACACTGCTTCCAAGACAGCTCCCAGCTCCACATCAGATCCTTTGAGCTCCCAATTCCCCTAAATGGGATCATCGGGCTAAACCCTAATCGCTAAACCCCAAACCCTAAACCCCAAACCCTAAACCCTAAACCCCAAACCCTAAACCCCAAACCCCAAAACCTGTGGGTGGATCCTCTGATCCTTTGGGCAAGGTACCGGAAGCGGGTGGCAGAGGTGTTCGAGGAGCGGCCGGCGTCTGTGCTGTTCGAGTTCCAGGCTCAGGCACCTCTTCGGCACAGTAAACTCCAGAAAGTTGGGTTTAGGGTTTAGGGTTTAGGGTTTAGGGTTTAACTTAGGGTTTAGGGTTTAGGGTTTTGGGTTTTGGGTTTTGGGTTTTAGGGTTTGGGGTTTGGGGTTTGGGGTTTGGGGTTTAGGGTTTAGGGTTTAGGGTTTTAGTGTTTTAGGGTTTTAGGGTTTTAGGGTTTTAGGGTTTTAGGGTTTTAGGGTTTTAGGGTTTAGGGTTTAGGGTTTAGGGTTTAGGGTTTAGGGTTTAGGGTTTTGGTTTAGGGTTTGATTTGAGCTGGGATTCCCGTTGGTAACCCTCTGGGGGTATGAGGATAATGATGTCCCAAAAGTGTGAGATTTTGCTTTAGGTAGGATTTCGGGGTTGAAGCTTTCGCGATCACACGCCCTTCCCAATCCAGCTTTCACCCTCACCCATCGGGTAACAGGATTTGTGGTTTGTGGGGGTTTGGTCTCCAACGCTCCAACGTGCTGGAATAGGGTTGCTGGGCGCCGAGAGTTTGGTTTTGGGACTTTGGGGTGCGGAGGGTCGAACAACTTTAATTGGTACCCCTTATATCCCCCCTTTTTCCCCTCTACAACCCAATGGCCCCCATATCAGAACTCTTGAAAGGAAGTAGGGGACAACAGCAAGCCCTGCCCCTCGCTGCGCACGAAGCGCAGGCCGAGCGAGCTTTGATGATCCGGGACTTGAGAGCTTTGGGGCGGCTTGGCGGGTCGGTTTGGGGTCGGCGAAGGCTGCTTGCGGTTTAGGGTTTAGGGTTCAGGGTTCAGGGTTTACGGTTAGGGTTTAGGGTTTAGGTTTAGGGTTTTCGGCACATTGGGGTTCGGAGTTCAGTACAAGAGTGCCCTTGGCTTGTACGGGTCAAGCTTCCTGGACCCCCCCCAAGATCCAAATCCTAGCCTAAGCCTGAAACCACAACCTCAACCAAACTCGCAAGCCCGAGCCAGGAGCTTCAAAGCAAAAAGCTAAACCCTAAACCATCAACCCGAAACCCGAAACCCTAAACCCTAAACCCTAAACCTGGTCAGGTTCACTTTTGTGGAGGCTGAGTTCCCAGGAGCTCCATCGGAACCAGAAGTCAATAAATGCGGGTAAACTACAATTTGCTTAAGAACCACAACAAACCGAAAAGACAAATCCGCTTACTGCCCTTATAGTGAAATAAATACACATCAAGACAAACAGAAATATAAATAAACAAATGAATATATACATATATATATATATATCTGTATTTTCTTTTTTGAGGGGAGGGGGGGGGCTTCTTAAGCGAACCATAGTAAAGGCCATCAAAGATGAATCAAAACGAATTCAATGTTCACAGTTCTGCAGTGTCATCGTTTGAGGTGTCTGAATGGTGTGGAGTTCCTGTTTCGGGTTGAAGTCGATCTGCCGGCAAGCGTATCCAAGTGCATCCCAGTGCGTCTCGGAAACGTCTGCCTTGTGGGTTTAGGGCTTTACGAGTCAGAGGTGTTGGACTTCAAAGGTTGCCGCCGCTTGAATGCTGCGACCACTCCAAACACCTCCAAACACCTTGCTGCATCTTGAAAGGTCGAAGTTGGGATGTTCCCCCTTATACTCGCAGTCCTTATAATAGGGATGATCGTGCCCCCTACTATAATCCCTATTAAGGACTGTTAGTTTAGGGGGGAACACCCCGAGAACGACATCTCAAGCCCTCAGGACGTCCCGGTGTCATCTCTCTCTGGGCTGGCGTGATGCAGAAGAAGGCCACGGGCCTTGAAGCTTGCTGCCGAAACCCGCAGCAAGAGCCGCGCAAGGGTTGCAAAGAGCCCACGCGCCCGTTTTCTTGCCCTTGCAACCGGGCTCTACCCGGTCTACCACCCTAAACCCTGAAACCCGAGACCCTAAACAATGAACCCTAAGCCCCTTTGGAAAGCGCCTTTGGAAGGTGAGCGTGGAGGGCTGCCAGGGCCAGGGCGGGATGGCCAAAGTGGAAATGGAGGCTCCAGGGCTTGGGTTTACTATATAGGCTTGACCCCAGACCTCAATAAGGGCTTCAGGTTTAGGGTTTAGCGTTTAGGGGTTAGGGTAGGGCTGGAGGGGAGGGATTGCTTTGGGGCCTTTCGTTTTGGGTTTGCATTCTGGATTCTTGTGTGGATGTTAAGGTAGGTTGACAAGGCGTAGGAGCGTGGCGGGGGGGGGGGGGGGGGGGCGGGTGGGAGGGGGGTGTGTATAGGATATCAGCATCTGGTTGCGAATAGGTCTGGTAATGGAGTGCGGGAAAGCACGCTAAACCCTAAACCCTAAACCCTCATCCCTCAGCCCTCTCGAGGGGCTCGGAATTGGGATTTTGGAATTTTGAATAAAATCACACAGAGGTTTTCATAACAGTGGGACGGAGTACTCGATGCATGGAATGTGTCATGACATCGGTGCTGGAAGGCAACCAGTGCCAGCCACCGCTGCACACCAGGAACAAAGCAGCCAAGGTTAGGGTTTAGGGTTTAGGGTCTTGGGTTCAGGGTCTAGGGTTTTCGCGTGTTCTATGACATTCTTCGCTCCCCCCCCTGCGAAGAAATTACAAAGCACAGATGCTTCGTTTGTTAGAGCAGTGTGTGTGTGTGTGTTCATTGAAAGGGGCAGAACTGTAGCTCTTCCCCTCAGACCCTAAACCCTAAACTTAAACCCTAAACCCTAAACCCTAAACCCTAAACCCTCAGCCCTCAGCCCTCAACCCTCAACCCTCAACCCTCAACCCTCAACCCTAAACCCTAAACCCTAAACCCTAAACCCTAAACCCTAAACCCTGAACCCTAAACCCTAAACCCTAAACCCTAACCTCCCCTCCCTGCGGTCTCGGCCCCTGTCTCTGTCATTTTGCCATGGGCAGTCCGCAGGTAAAGAACCTTACGGATGAACCTTTGCAGCTGGTCATGGAGGTGGGGGGAGAATCGAGAACGTATCACCCTAAACCCTAAACCCTAAACCCTCAAGACCAGTATAATAGAAGTTGTATGTTGAATCATCCTAAATTTCCAAGTTATTCTTCTAAACAGCCGAGCTCAGGCAAATTGATCCTAAGCGCCCCCCCCCCAAAAAAAAAATCAATTCACTTAAGGGGTTTAGGGTTTAGGGTTTAGTTTAGGGCTTAGGGTTTAGGAATATAATCTACCTTACCTCAGCCCCAAACGTTTCCAAACCGAAGCCTGCACAAACCTGCCCCAACGCAAAAGCCAAGAACCCAAAACCCGCCCAAGCCAAAACCGAAACTCCCCCAAAGTCCCCACAAAGCAAGGACCGAAACCCACCCAAAACGTGCCCCAAAACCCGCCCCAAAGCAAAAACCGAAACCCCGCCCGAAAACCCGCCCAAAAGCAAAAACCGAAACCCGCCCAAAACTTTCGCAAAACTCTCGCCCAAAACCCGCCAAAACTCCGGACCCGAACCCTGAATATAAACCCTAAACCCTAAACCCTGAACCCTAAACCCTAAACCCTAAACCCTAAGCCCTAAACCCTAAACTCAAAACCCTAAACCCTAAACCCTTGTGAGATTTTCCTGTTTAGAGGCGCCGAGTTGGATTTCGTGTTGAGTAGAAGCTGTATGTAGATCATTTGTATAGGCATGCACAGTCATGTATTCGAGTACAGCAGTGGCATTAACACATGTCCCGACTTACAGGCGCCTTGGGCTCAGACCAAACAGTCAGCTGCGTAGTCTGTCACTGTGACTCCGGCCCCAGTACCCCGCTTCTGAAACTGGTAACGGAGCTGTGGAGCTCAGTGACACGTTTTTCATTCCTTGCCGCAATCTCGTTCCGGAAGAGAGAGCTAAGGGAAGTTTGGGGTCGGAGGTGGCGTAAGATCCCCGGACCGTCACACAGGTGACGAGAGCAGTGGAGTAGCGGCTAGTCCTTCAAGCGCCCCAGGACGCCGCGGCCGCCAGGCCGGCACACAGTCCACGTCGTCAAGAGACGGTGGCGACGAAGATCAACGGCCAAGACTTCGAGGAGGAAGACGACGGTGATGCCTGAGTTGAGACTGAGCCCGCTCCCACACTTGCTTCAGTCCGTGATAGTGATCTTGACATGTCTGATGCAGTTCAGAAGACGCTGGAGGGCCTTCGCGGCGATGCTTTCCTTGTTGCCCGAGACATAGGTCTCGAGAGGTTGTTGCAGCATGACGGCATTGCTCCTCATCCAGAAGGTCAAGGAGCATGCGTTCCCCGTGCAGGGGGAGGAAGCATCCGAGCTGTTTAGGCAAGGGCAGTTGTTGACAGGACCTTTGTCCAAGCAGCCAGGTGAGCCCATGCTATCCTACATTTCCCGGCGAAAGCGCTGGTGGACCACTTTGAGGGATTTGGACCCAGAAGTGCGTTTGTCTGAGGCCATGCGTGCAAACCTGCTTGTGGAGTTGTCCGGCTTGTCGCGCCAGGAGCAGCTCACGGTGCGCGCTGCTGCACAAACAGAAACAGTGGACGAGTATGCACGCGTGTTAATCAGGCATCACAGCGTTGCGCACATGCGCGAGTGTCTACTTGTCGACAAGGACAAGCCAACTTCGCGACCATGATCCAAGCCCAGATGGGAGAATGCCTCGTTTCAGCAAAGGCCCCAATATGGATACATGACTCAGGGTCTCATGGAGGTCGAAGAGTATGAGTATCATGAGCCAGAGGGTCAGGCCTATATGGCCGAAGAGCGTGGGGTGACTTCGGGCTCAGTGCAGTCGATGATGATGATGATGATGATGATGAAGAGCGTGGGGTTGAAGATCATGAAGGCGAATGGGTTGACGACAGTGAGCTAGCCTTGGCTCTTAACGCATATACAGCTATGCAGACAGAGCTTGGAGGCGAGCCCGGCGAGGAGCATGCCGAAGCCCTCCAGTTGGCATATGCAGCTCAAACCACACTTGCCAATGTGAAGGGCGGTAAGAGTAAGGGTTCAGGCAAGGCAGGCGGTAAGAAGGGTGGTAAGGTTCCTCCATCCAATCTCTCTATCGCCGATAGGAAAGCCAAACTCGCCGAGTTGCTTGCGATGCGGGCCGAGTGCCGGTTTAAAAGAGTGGTTCCGGTAAGGGTGGCTCCGGTGCAGAGAAGGGCGCCACACCCGGGAAATCCGGAGCTGCGTCTACTTTCGCAAGCCTATCTTGCTGCACTGAGTGACACCTCAGACGATGAGGTCCCTGCCATTCACCTTTCAAACACTGTGGAAGACATGGAAGGATATCGATCCCGATGCGCCCTCGTGCTCGCAGGTCAGATGCCGCTGTCATGCGTGACAGTCCGCCGCCAGGATCTGACACTCTGTTCACTTTCGGCCATCGCAAGGGTTTGACGTATGAGCGTGTGTTGCACACCTCCCTGGATATGTCTTTGGGGTCAAACTCAGAAGTGTCCTTCTAAGTGTTACGAGGGGTGCAACTCAACAGTTCATGGTGAGGATTGGAGTCGTGAAAGCATGGCCAAGTATGCAAACTTTGGGTATTCAACGAGGTTCACAAAGGAGATGTCCAAGACCTTTAAAGGCTTGCGGTTCCAACGCAAGGAACCCGAACCATATCCCTTTTCCCTCCCCTAAAGGTTCGATCGAGGGTGCAGACGTTTCCCCAAAGGAAAGGTTGAGTGGAGCACTTGATTCGCACGAGATACAGGGTAGCGCCCCGCTCTTGCTTTCACTCGGCCACGACTGCTCAGCGTTGCAGCGCTGACAGGAAACGAAAGGCCTTCGACGCGGAGCAGCAAATTCTCGATGAGTATGCCTCCTGCCACGGAGCGACGCCTGTTTTGTTTGCATGCAACGCTCACATTGATAGCCTGAAATCCCTGCTGCATCGCCTTCTTGATTCTGGGGTGGATAGCGCGGCAATGTTGAAAAAAGCCGGGATCACACGCTATCTCCCTCGCTATTGCGGGGTGGCTTCCCACGTGGCCGCGCATTGACAAATCGCGCCACTTCCGACCAGCAAGTTCCGGATCGAGACTGCAGGAATTCGGGAGGTACGTGAGGTCGAAAAATATTCCAGCAAATGCTCCTCCCAACTCGAGTGTAGTCTCCGCAGAACGAAGGTTGCTGAAGTTGTCTGCGAACGAGGCGGGGCTGCCCCTTCTGCATAAGCCCTTGAGTTGGATTGATGCAAAACAGATCTGAGTCCGAAGTCCGAAAGAGTCGGATCCCCGCGAGGCCGAACGAGATCGTCAAGAATCTGATCGGAGGGCCGAACGCGCCCAAGAGTTGCTCCAAGATGCCCTGTCGCAGTTGGGCAGGTCTTGCTCGCGGCATCGACACCATGACCGCAGAGGCCGGAGCAGCTCGAGTGACTCCCGGAGAAAGGTCCGGAGGGAGAGATTATTTCATCATGATCGCAAGCGTGAGCCATCCTCCCCCCACAAAGAGCAGCCTTCTCGTCCTGACAGCGATCGTTGGCAGTCCAGCAGCAGCTCCCGCGACACAGGTCGCGAGGATGCAGGTGCCAACAAGTGGGACGATTGGGCGTCCTTTGGGAACTTCGCAGCTACTTTCACGACCCTTCCTCCGGCAACAGGTTTGCCGATTGGACTATTTGGCGCACGAGCCAGCCGGCCCAACCGCCAGGTCAAGGCCAGCGCGTGAAACTCGACCCTGCGATCCTGGAGCTTGACCTGGCGGAGATACCTCTTTCTGATGATCAGCCCCTGTCATGGAACAGGAGAGTTCTAGTTAGATTCTAGTCGATTTGTTCCCAGATTCGGTGCTACATGAGTTTCGCAGCCTTCTTTATGGACGGCCTAGTCCGGCCCTATGGGCTGGACCCTAGACGCCCCAGTCCTTTAGCACTGCGGATCATGAGCAGTTTGAGAAGTTGAGAAGTGCGAGAGGCACGACCTGAAGGTCATCATGGTGTCAAATCCCCCTCACCGATAGGGTGGATGTATCTCACAATGAAAATCCGTAAGACAAGGGCGGAATGCGGGTGCCTCAGCGCACAGTATGCCCTCCCGGTCACAGTACCGAGGATGTCTGCGGTGAATTCAAAGCTGAGCAAGTTTGTCCGTCCGAGCCTCCGCCAAGTGGAGGGGCGTACCTTGTGGTGTGGCTATAATAAATCCCAAGGCCTTTGCCTCGGACACAGTGCCGAAGACCCTTGCTGACCGCGAAGAGCTGAGCGCACACATGGCGTTGATGCACAGGCTGGCTGAGGGCGACTTTGAGGGGTTTAAGCAGGTAAGATTCGATGTTGAAGAGTCTGACGACGAGTTTGAGTTGATCCCTGCCAATGACAGCCCCAGAACAATCGCCCGAGACACTGCACACTCATCACCCAAGCTCAGCAATAGGCAAAGAAAAAAGGTGCGTCGTGGGATTCAGGAAATGGTTGCGGGAGACCGTGTGTTGCAGGCAATTGCTTTCAATGCTGCAGTGGCTACGGACCATATGATTGATTGCCTTCACCCCCACTGAACCACTCTCACTGCAAATGGATATCAGAACCCCCCGATGCACAGGTGATCGGCGAGTCCATGGCCAATCTCGAGACGGGTGTGCCCGGTCTCGTTGTTGTGAGGGTTGACGCTCCCACCACCGAGGAGTTGTGTCTAGAGTGCGAGTGCCTAGCTGACACAGCTGGAGTGAGCATCGTCATGATCAGTCCTTACGGATACCCCATGCTCGACAGCACTGCTGAAGTCAGGGGCGACTTGAGTATTTCCGGTGTAGGACCGAACATTGACGATGCACTTCAGGTTTTGTATGCATAGACAGAGAGCTATGGTATGAGTCCCAGGTGTTATTCAGACACAGAGAGTCGTGATTTCTGGGCCACATGTCGTGACATCTCACAAGAGCTCTATCTGAACTCCTACACCCGCAGTTGCTTTGTAGGATCAGGGGATCTAGACTCCGAAATGGAAGACCAAGAACTCATCCCCGATGAAGAAATGGCCGAGCTACAAAAAGAGCAAGACAATGGAGCGTCAGTGTTTACCCCCGAAGAGAGAGAGAGAGAGAGAGAGAGAGAGAGAGAGAGAGAGAGAGAGAGAGAGAGAGAGAGAGAGAGAGAGAGAGAGAGAGCAGCTCATTCGTGAGCAACTGTCCTTTCCAGGCACACCTGCATCGGAGGAGGAGCGCAGAGCAGCTTGGAGGTCGTTGCCACAGCGCACCAGGGTAGCAATCAGGCGACGTCATAGAGCATTCGGTCATCAGTAAAGTCCTGGAGCAAGTTTTGATGCAAAGCAAGGCATCCAAGGAGTTCATCCTAGCCGCCCGCCTCCACAGGTGTAAGGCTGGTCTTGACACAGCGCCAATTCCAAGGACACCAGGTTCAGTTATGGATGAAGATGAGAGCATGGGAACCTTGTTAGCCCGCTTTGATGAGACCTCACCTTTCTATTCCTGACACAGGACTCGGGAGGAAGCTCGCAAGGCCTTTGTGCACTTGGATTCGTCACGAAAGGTGGCTCGTGCATTGCAGAGGAACACGGCGCCCATGGAAATGGAGTACCAGGTGGGTGATCTAGTCATTCACCGGAGGGATACCTTGCCTGGGTCCACGTCCACTGTATGGTCAACAGCGAGCCTCGTGATAGGACGCGTTGTTGCACGAAGGGGTACCAGTACTCGTCAACCCTAGGAAGATGAGGCCAGCAGACGAGGTTGAGGTTGCTGCGCGACGTGTGTTGACAGGCGAACCAGTTTTGCCTGGATCCATTGTCAATGGCCCTGAGCAGCGCTACCTTGATGAGAGGGAGAGAGACCCGGTGACAGCACCGCCCACTCCGAGGCCGGCTGCAAAGGCGACGCCAGCACCTTCCACCCCTGTGATGATCTGCCCAAGCATCCAGTGCACCAATGACACCATCCACTTCAGCCGTTGGTCGCATCAGGAGTGAAGAGGTTCAAGCCAAAGATAAGACGGGCAGAGATCGTACACGATCTCCGCCGGGGCAAGACTCCGATGCATTGATGCGCAGGGCACCGATCCTTTAGAAGCACAAGAGTTCGTGGAGGCACGAGCGTTTGAGACGAGCCATTGTCTCGAGTTGCTCAAGTTATGCAAGGAGAGCAAGCCCAAAAGAACCCGAAGGTCGATGCTTCAAGACGCGACAGAAGATGAGCTAGCCACAAGTTTTGGAGTTTACAGGCGCGGTGGTTTCGTCGGAGTATCCAACTCCACCAAACAGCACCCGCGTTTTGTGACTTATTTGAATTGCTTCTTGCGACACCACTGCGAGAAAGGCGGGTTCACCGAACCAACCTGGAATGCGGTCCAAGTAAGGGAATCGCGAGCAGAGCTGCGCAAAGATAACTCCAATATGAAAGGCACGCGCAACTTCACCATGAGCTTAGGAGGTTATTCCAAAGGAGGTCACCTCTGGGTAGAAAACCCCCAGGGCGACACTGTGATTGACGTCTGTGGCAAGCTTGTTCCCGGAACTTTGCACTCCACTCGCGCCAAAGTCCCGCGGTTTGACCCAAAGAGACTCCACATGGTCGAACGTTACGGAGGTCAGAGATACAGAAAATTGGATTCACCATGAACCATCTGGGAAAGTTGCGCGCCGACGAACTCCAAATGTTGCGAGAGCTGGAATT